GCCGCGGCCACCGCCAAGGTCGCCGCCCCGCCGGGCCGGGCTCGCGGGGCCCTGGCCTGCGCCCCGGGCAGGTCGCCGGGACTGACCCCGGCCCCCGCGTGGCCACCGGGCTCTGGGGTGGATGGAGCGCAGGGCCTGCGCCCTGGGGGCAGGCGTGGGAGGCCCTGGGGCTGTGCAGGGGGGAGCCTACCCAGGGGCAGAACAGAGGTGGGGGGCACGGGAAGCCGCTGACCCCCTCAAGGATGAGGCGGCATCCCAGGCTGGGATGGACAGGGGAGCGCCGACCAGGCAGGGCCTGGGCTGGCGGCCTGAGCACCAGCGGACAGAGGAGGCGGAGGCGGGCGGCGGGCAATGCCTCTCCCCTGCCCACCTGCCGGCCTGTGCTGCCTTTGGGAAGTGTCAGTCTGGTGCGTGTCCCTGTGTCCACGTTCAAGCCAACCAGAGCCCCTCGCAGGCCCACTAACCCCCGAAGACCAACGGGAGATCTCAGAGGAGGCTGGACTTGGGGTCCCCTCACCAGAGGGTCTACTCAGGGGTGGCGAGTGCGGCACAGACCCAAGCCCCGAGGACACTGGAGGAAGATGCCCCTGGAGGGGGTGGGCACCCTGGGGAGCCTTTCTGGAGGGGCCCACCAGCCCGCAGAAGGCGTGAGCCCACCGCCGTGGAGCCGAGGGTTCCTTGGGCTCCTGGCTCCTCACTGACGCACCGTTTGTGACAGAGGGAGGCCTTCCTGCTCCCTGGGGCACTCGGCCACCCTGGCGGGTGCAGGGGACCCACCCCGCTCCCGGGCTCAGCTTGCCTTCCCCCCACTGGACACCCGCCTCGCGGCCTCCAGACTCGCCGGTCCCCACTCCTCCCACGCTGGCGTTTCCTGGGCGGCCTCCAGCGTGACCTCCTGCTCTAACACCTCCGGTGGCTCCCTCGTCCCCGGGGCCGAGGTCGTCTCTCAGCCTGGTCTTCAGGGCCCCCAGGACCTGGCCCCTCCATCCCCGGCTGCCTGGAGCTCCCCTGGGCACACTGGGAACAGCCCTGTGGGCAGGTGGATTCTGGCTGCAGTCTGGGCTCCTATGACCCAGGGACGGGCTGCCCTGGGCCTCGGTCTCCCTACTTGTCAGGGAGGGTCACTGCGGCGTCTCAGGACGGCAGGAACAGGCCACTGCCACACGGGCACGCAGGTGGCAGCCCTGCTCCGCGCTCCACCCGCCTGCCCTGGTCTCCCGAGTGACCAGCCGTGCCCGCTCGCGCTGGGCTGGTCTCTGGCTCCTCGGGCGCCGGCCCAGGCCGGGCAGGCTGACTCATGCGTAGGCGAGTGGGCTCCGAGCGACTCCACTCTTTGGCTGCTATTAATAGCCGCTGGGCGCTGGGCCGCGGGAGCCTAGGGACAGGCCTGAGTCCCTCCCTGCGGCCCGGGGCACAGGGGTGCAGCCTTCTATGAGCACCCCAAACGGGGAGGGGTGACCCGCCCTGTGGCCGGCTGGGAGAGCAGAGGGCGTGGCCTGGCCTCCGAGGGAGGGGTGAAGGGCCCGTCAGCTCTGCCCACTCCAGCGAGGCCCATGGTCCAATCAGGGGTCCCCCGCTACTCAACCATCGCCCTGGAGGGTCCTTGGGTCCCGCGCTGCTGGACACGAAGACCTCCCTGCACGTGAGCTGCCCGTGAACCTGGGTGACTGTCACAGGTACTGGCTGGACACGGTGTGTGCGGGCACTGTCCCTGCCCTCACTCAGAAACAGGCTCAGAGAGGGGACACTCGCCCAGGGGGCCGGGATGGGGACGCAGACCCACCGGGCTCGAAGCCAGAGCAGACCTGCTGGGCGTGGCGGCCCCTCCCGGGGCGGGACCCCCCTGTCCCGGCTGTGTGAGGCCTGTCCTACAGACCCCCCTCCACAGCCGTGGGGACGCCCGTTCACCTGCCCGTCCTAGGTCCTCACCCAGCGCCCTGCCCGGCGGCCACAGGGACAGGAAAGCCAGGGCCTTGCCCCGCCCCCTGACCCCCGCAAGCCTGACCCCCGGGAGCCCCCGGGTTAATGCAGTTTCATGGGAAGGCGGAGGCGTACACAGCCGGGGAGGTGGAGGTCTTCAGTTTGGCTTTGGTGTTTTAAAACGGTCGTTGTGAAAAGCCAGTTTGCCTTCAAAACCAAAGGGCTGGCAGGTGGCGTGGTGGTTAAGGCACTGGACTCCCACATAGCTGTGTGGTTCAAGTCCCAGACCAGGCAGCTTGACAATCATGTTGGTGCGTGTGTGTGTGCGAGCCTGGAGTCCTGAGAGGACAATGGAGGAAAGGGGGGTGACTTCTCATTCTCCCTCTCCCTGGCTGGTGCACGTGCCCCGTGACGAAACCCTAAAATAAAACGCGGCAGGGCTGGCCTCCCGCAGCCTGGCTCTGCCACCAGCCCGTGCAGAGCTGCTGCAGCTGCTCCAGGAAGCCGGACCCACGAGGAACGCGCGTCTCCCCGAAGCCCCCTCTGGGCCTCGCGTGCACAGGGGCTTTCGCCACCGCCTCTGAGCAGTGAGTGCGGAGCCTTTAGCACGGAGTCGGCCCCTGCAACACTAGGGCTTTTTATTTGTATTTACTTGTTTTGAAGTAATGGGGCCAGCAGGCGGTGCGGTGAAGGAGCTGGACTCCCACACGGCCACCTGCAGTTCAAGTCCTGGACCTGGTGGTGTGCTTCCTGTTTCCC